CATCGAGCAAGATGGATAGTGATGAGGATGCCACTGCTTTAATCTCCCAGTCGCCTTATTCCCATTTTTGCGCTTTTCATCCCTATTGACCCATATAAAATTTCAATTCTATCCCCCTGTTTTCAATAACTAAAATTCTTGACCCTCTCACATCTCGTTTTACCATTAGTTTGCCTCCTAGTGGCAACTCACACATAATCGCGGAGCGTCACTTCCGCCCTGTCGACACGCTCATGTCTAACAAAGCGGACAACGTCAATTTATAGGTTAATACTGGCGTGCCTCAACTTGCACAATTCGTTACGAATCGGTCAACAGACAACATATGGCTGAACACTAAAGATACTCTTGATCAATATGATGCTTACAGGAAACCATAATGCAAGATTCGAGCTGTGTGCTCACTCGGCGATCTTCAAAGTAACACACGGGCGCCAATTTTTCATTGCGTTTTTCCGAAGATAATGCAGTTTTGAATATCAGTCGAGCCAGTGCAGATATTGCTCTGAGTTCCCGGTCTCTGACTGACTGGATCCCAATCAGCAGTCAGGTGTAGGCCGTCCAAAACTTCGAATTCGAGTGGGGACAATGGGTGGGGGCTACATTCGCAGAAACTACGGCGACCTCTATCGCCAACTGAACGAGCTCTTTCATCAGAGGAGAAGTATGCATACTGTGACGTTGACTGGCGATCTTAACGCTCAATTTGTAATATAGTTCATAAATAAGCATTATCTTAGCGGACAAGACGGTGTGGACTTCCGTAACGGGAACCAGGAGCAGTGGCTACCTCTATGTGTAGATGCACGTTTATTTCTCGAGAGCAGTAAAATCCAACACAAAACCCACCGCAGAGTAAGGTGGCACACGCCAACCTGGGAACAACTATGAGCGCAAATCGATCACATCGCGACCAGGCTGCATTCAAAGCTGCCACTAGGTATGGAGCACGAGCGCGAACTCCGACCATGCACATGTTTGTGCCGACCTGCGGGTGAGTCTCGGTATTTGCCTGCGACAACACTATGGACGCAGATACACACGTCAACTGGCGAAGCCAGATGGTCTGAATGCGTAACAAAGTACTAGAGTTCAGTAACCGCTCAATAGACAGTTGAAAGTTAGTGGCCACGTGTTCGACAGACCATATTAACAGCAGTCGTCTTCATGTGGCAAATCTGATCACCAACCTGAACGTCGGGGTTATGCGCAGTCTACGGAACTCTTGAATACTTGCCGAGACATTCCGGCTTCGAACTGAACACAACAAGACTCGCAACGACCTCAGGGCAAAATTGCTTGCTTGCCTGAAGAGAGGCCGCAAAGCTTGGTGGTCCCATTGTCAGTCGGAGATAAAAACAGCCGCTGCCCTAGATAAACATCGGAAGTAATTCCGTCTCGTATGGAAAACGTATAACAGAAGACCTGGTGTTAGCCAGACTATATGTGACGATAGTGCGCAGTCCATTCATAAGCTGTCAAAACGCAAAGTGAGTAAAGCTGAGCTTTATGGTTGCTGACCAGTGATCGCCCAACTCAATGGGCCGTCGCTCTGGATGCTCCCTCTCGCTCAGATGTCGAAGTTGAGATCGGAATGCTGAAGGCCGCGTGACCACATGAACGCCGGCCAGTCATTTACAAGTGTGGAGGGCCTACTCTCGTGAAGAACTAACATTATATATTAAAGAAACTGTACCAAACGGTTAGAGCAGCCCTGCCATTGTCCCACCCTTCAAGAATACTCATGTTGAAAAAGCGGCAATCATAGAGGGATCGGCCTGATCTCCACTGTCTCTAAGTTACTTACCTGTCACATTGTATAGACTCACTGGCATCCATGAAAGCCAAATTCGTCAGGAGCATGGCGGGTTACGTCGAAATCGAGGCTGCATTGATCACATCCCTTGCGAAAATTTTCGAAGCAACTGGCGACCCTTAATGTGACCGTGTATCTCGATATCAAAGGTTGTGGAACCTGACGCATCAGATGGACAGAGGTAAAGATGCAACTTATGTTCGACCACCTGTGCCTTCGCAGTTTTGCCTACTTCTGGTGCTAACATCGCATGAACAATGAGCGTGTTCGGCGTAATCTTTGCGGTGCAGAGAAGAGGTGAACCACTCAACCCCATTATTTCACACTCCGAGGACTGGGCCATGTGTTTTGCATGCCAGCACATCGACTCTCGCGATACGTGTTGTTTGCCTAATTGGTCGGAGTGAAAGAAGTGGGGAGGAGACCAATCGAAGACTTGGTCAAGAATAAGGGCTTTGACTTCGAAGTTCGCATCAGATGGTGTCAGATAGTCGCAATGGATGTACGCTGAGACACGGTTTCGTGAAGCGACGTGGACAAGTGACAAAATCGGTTCGTCATCAACATCACGAGTTGCAATGTGGTTGGCGTTCACTGAGGAAATCACTCTGTCAGCGCCGGCGTGAGCGAGGCTGCGATTGGCCAGGCATCCGGGCAACCCAGTTCAGGAGACTGCGATTGCATGCAGATGTAGGTAGGTAGGCGAACGTCAGTCAACCGGCTGACGTGTAGTCGGAGTGAAAGGCAGAGACAAGTATGTGTACGTGACCTATACATGTAATCATTTCGCAGCCAACAATATACTCCGATCTGGCAGGACTCAGAGTATTACAAGGCAGTATCCAGGTACTCGTCCATGGTGAAGTTAAACAAGGATGGAGAAGGCTGGGCAACCCTGTCTAACATCGCTAGTGATACTGAAAGGGGATGAAAAGTCTCCGTATACCCGCAGGCGGCCCGAAGTTTGATGGTAAATGGCACGCAGAAAGCTGATCTACTTCTCAGGTATTCCCCAGTTCAGTACGCAGTCTCAAAGAGCCACTCTGTCAACAGAGTCAATCAAAGCTCGAATGTCCAAGAATATGACAATGGTTGGTCGACTGAACGTATAGCGATGTTCAAGTATCTGGCGGATCGTAAAGATGTAACTGCGACCCGGGTGAAATCCAGCTTGTTGTTCACGAAGGTGCTGTTCCCGTACGCAAGAAAAGGGGAGCGAGCAGTTTAGACGTGACACAAATGAGACTGATGCCACGATGGTTGGAGCAAACGGTCTGGTCTCTCTTTCTGTAAACAGGTACAACGTCTGCTAATTTCCAGTCAGATGGGATGGTTTCAGTAGTCCATTCGGAACTTAAGGATGGTGAGAGCAATCACAGCGTTGTGTTGAAGTCCTGTAAACGGGTTTCGATTAGGCAACTAACGTCGATGGAATGGGTTGCCAAGGTGCGCGCAAGAGCAGCTTGTGATCCAAGTTTCATAAGCGTCTGAACATTGGACGTAGCTAGCTGGAAGAGCGAGCGTGATGCAACAGAAGCCTCGCTGTTGAAATTGGATTGTGTCATCGGTTTTGAGCGGCTCATTAATGAGGCCAAAGGTATCGTTTTTATTTGCAATGCACTTTGGAGACTCGAAATGGGAAGGGGGTTGCCAAGAACAGGAGGGTTGAATAAACGTGGAACGAAGAAGGTAGTTTATGGTGTGGTAGAGTGAGGTTTAGCACGCCCGATCGCCAGCATCTCGGCCAAAGAGAGAGGGTCCAGAGAGCGAAAATGGTAAGCAGATAGTCGCAAATCCATCATTTCATGCACGATCACTGGAGACGTAAAGATTTTAGAATAAAAAAATCTTGTCAGACATGCCCTTCAAAGAGGGTATCACCAAAAATAAACACCCTCAAGGTGAAATAAGGACTGGTGTGGTAGGTCGGACGTAAGCTTGATGATGCCAAAGCACCTGGAGAGAAGTAAAAATACCACCAATGTGTCATCTGTAGGTGTGTAAGCCAGTCCAACTTACATTCATTCGACCCGTAAGAGAATAAGTGAACAATCGCAGTGCGATGCATGTAAGTAGTTTGAGGGGTAAGGGGCATGACACCGATAGCACAACGAATTGCACGGGATGTAAGTTCGCACTCCACAAAATTGCAGTGACGATTGGCAACCGTCAGTGAGAGGACAGTTCCTCCTTGCAACGAATAGTAGCAAAGAGAGAAGACACCGTAACAATTGCATGATCTTTACCGTCCTTCTACAGTGATCATGGAGAGTATTCAATGCCAGATGCCTTGCCCGTCTTAACAAGGAGAGTTCGCGTCGGAGCTTGTCGAGACTATAACTAGATACCTCAACCCTCATTGACATCTGATGCACGGGGAGAGCGAATTTCTCTTCAAGCTACCCAAACCAACGGCCCACGTGACTGTAGGTGAATTAGCTAACCAGTTTGCTCAGTGACTGAATGAATCAGAAGGACCAGTACTCTGTGGTTCCCAACAGCGTTTGTGTTCGTCATCCTAGAAGGACCTGTTGCCTGTCAATGTATCCGGTCAACTATGAGATTTCAGGTCAGACTCAGGTTCAAGGTGTTATGATAGAAAAATAGAAGGCATCAGAAGTACGCCTGTGTGTAGCACAGATGCGCTTCGATTCAACGCGATTACCGCTACCAGTCGAGGACAGGATAAATGGGATACTGCGATGTCGCCCGCACCCCGAAGTGTCGGCGATTTTTGGACTCCACACGCCAGATGCCCAAAACCACTCTCGATGCGTAAGGATGAGTTTGATTTTTAATTGACCAGATCAAACGGTGTAAGGCTTCATGATATAAACAATAGAAGAGCAACTGCTGGCTATGCTGGTGCTCAAGGAAGTTGTGCAAGTGATAGAACGCAAACAATGAATGGGAGAGAAAAAGATAAATGAATCACTAGAGGGGATTTGACCAACAGATGAAATTCGCTTTCGATTCGATACTGGATGATGTGGAGTGAAGTTGAAAGCTAAATTGAAAGAATGTGCTGATACAAGTGGGTAATCGCTTGTCGGGATCTGAGAACAAATTAGGCCCATGGTCTCCGCTGTTGAACGACCAAGTGCACTGACCGGAAAATGGTGCGTCGAAAACGCAGAATGGATCATTAACTGACATCGGATTATGATATAACACAGCCAGTTACCTGTTCAGTGATCAGTCGCCAACCATATTCATCGTCCGAACGATCGAATTCAAACGTTTCACCCAGGAGAGGATTGAAAGGTTTGCCAGTTCGAATCGCAGTGGTGGCATAGCAACTGACGGAGAACGCTGCAACCAGAGCCATTTGCTCCGCTGGATCATGTGTCTGACTGGCTCGATCTAACAAGTAGGAGTAGGTAAGATCCTCACTGGCACGTTGGAGGAAGGAAATGGGTTCATTGAAGTTCACCTGAAGGGACGAGCAGATGAGTGAATTATGTAGACGAGAAAAGCGGTTAAACAGAGATGGAGTGAGAGTAGTTCATGCAGAACCCAAAATTACGTGGTGCAGATATTCGAATTCAATAGTAAAAGTAGCCAGAAGTTTCAAGAAAACAGTGGTCATAAAGGTATTGCTTCATATAATCTATACGCAATATATAGGAAGACATGAAGTTGTACGAAATCAAAACCGATACAAAAATGGTGAACAAGAAGGTAAGATTTGTGGGTCCCCATCAAAGCATCATGTTCCCTACCAACACGCAACTCACACAGTAGTTGCTGTCATAAATCAGCCTGAACACGCATCACAAATACAATTATGTATAGCGGATTACGTAAAACAATCTGGATATGGTACAGTATGAGAGGACTATTCAAATACCAGGGTATTTCCACATAAGCAGCAGTGTGTGGAATAAATAATCACAGTGGATAATTTCGCAGCTGCTCCCTGCCAACATTGTACTCCATAACCGACCGGTCACAAAGTTAGTTGGACTTATAAGATAGAGACAGCCTGAACTGAGAGTGGAACCTGATACAATGTGATTGACGACTTGTGCCTTGGTCACTAGGCCAGAAATACGTGAGCAGAATTTGACACATTGTTGTGTTTTGGAGTACCGGCTGAGTATCTGGATTGTGACACGCAATTCTTTGTAGCGTGGAGCACGTTGTGATGCTTAGCTGGCTGGCTGGAAACCAGTTCCTCTTTTCTTTAGGTCACCATCCTGTTTGCCAAATTTCACTGAAACATGCCATTCGCCATTAGTTGCCTTACGGGTAAACAGCATTTTCCGTTACAAAAGTTTGGAATATAATTAGAACCGAACGCGAATTCATGAGTTCAGAGAGAGTTGGAAACAATCGGTTGCTGTATCTGAGAGTGCACTAACATTTACCCTACACTACTCAGCAATATTACCACGATTGGTGGCGAAACTACTGTAACGAAATGGCCAAGCTCAACGAACAGTTCGACCGTTACACTTGGTTTTATCCCATATGTTACAGTCTACAAATAATATGTAACATGTAGGGTAGGTCTCTGGTGAAATGTCGTCCGTTGCAAGCGTATTCGCAGATGATGGGGTGTACACAATCCTCAAGTCATGCGTAGTACGGGAACGTGAAGTGTGCGCCACTACTGCACAACAGACGTTGAGATTTACGTTCGGCAAGGCAAAGGCACATCAATGGACTGAGCATTGTACAAAAGGGGTTACAACGGCAATCAGGTTGTATAAAGTTGGCTAAAGAAGGCGTTGTGAGGTAACAATAAGAACGAACAGACGGTGTTCAATGAAAAGAATTGAAAGAAGTAGCAAATCAAAAAAGGGTCACATGGAAAAAGTCTGAGATTTACGAGAGTAGATGCAACTAAAGGCAATATGCATCGCAAAAATGCATATGAAAGTTTACATGCATGCCGAATCACTCACAGGTAGAGGGATCTTGGTAATATCCTTCCCGATGGCATTTTTGAGAACGCTCCACAAATTAAGGGCAATCTTTGGGGAGGGTTTGACGGAGGTGCGTCGCTTCCGAGTTATTTGGCAGGAAGGTTCAGTGGAACGAACAGCGGGTTCCTCGTGCTCTATAGCGTGCACTGGACTGCATAGTTCGTTCTAAAAAGAGTGAACAAGAAGGGAAAGAAACCATAAGAACTGTATACGTGTGGACGAGTTATCGATACTGAAAAGCAAGTATAAACGAAGACACTAAATGCCAATTTGGACAGCTCAAGTTTTGAACCTATCGTAAAGTAGACAAACAAAGCACCGTGTCATAAGGTTGCTGATGTTAGTAACTTTTCAAACAACAAAAGTAATGCGAGCTGCGAATGCTTGAAACTAATCGGCAAAGAAGCCGCCAACGGATAATGGATGGTAGACTACTGAATGGCTGCTCGTAGAGCGCAGCTAAACTCCGAGGCGGCCCGTAGCCTGAAGGTAACAAGCTTGCCTTGAAATCTGACAAAGCGCATTCGAGCCTGCGTAAGGACAGGTTGACCCTCGCAGTATCCTTAGCCAACATGCAACCGGTGGTGGTTGCCCGGCAACGAAGTGCCGGTACTGTTGATCCTTCTTTTCCCAACTCCGAACAGCCGATGGATTACACAACGGATCAACCCACTCGTATCTTTCGTCTCGACTAACAAGCATGCATTCTCACTATGTAACCGTCCACCCGATGATGACCGACTCCTCGGTGCTATCAATTAAACGGAGTAGGGGGTTGTACGGCCGAGGGATTAAGGTGGAAACCTGTAACTTCACTCGGACGACCTCATGGGGCGAGCCATTCGTTGCATACGAATGATACACTCAGTCAACCAATACCAATTAGTCTTGTCGCAGAGGCCACTTGATCCTTGTCCAACTACAGTACTGGATTAGAGGGTATTCATCATCATAGGGAAAGTCCCCGCTTAAGCTTGATAATGGGGTCGTGTGATGATATGTGTGTCAGTATAACCGATTGGTTACAGCTGATTGACATTTTGTCGGTGCCTACAGGAAGAGATCAAGAGTCAGCAATAGAAAAGCAAGTAAAAAAAACCTAGCATCGGTGGCATTTCAGTTAAAACACAATCATAGGACAGAGTACGCGGCCAGGAGAGGTACACGAAAGCAACCTACTTCAAAGGAACAATGAATAAGCGCGTAATGACTGAATTTGTCAAGACCTTAACGTCCAACCAGCTGTGGTATCTTAGCCACCCGCCATTAATTAGCCACCTGAAGCGATGGTATTCCGTCATCTTCATAGGATACGAAGACAAAGTCCGTTACTTAAATTAGTTCAACTCTCCAACTGGCATAGTTTGCAAATGGACACAAGAAAAAAGAAGTAAAGTACACATCCAGCTTAGCGCAATTTAGTGACCAGCGGAAGACTCGTTTGTTGTTACGGAAGTTAACAGTGGAGGGTCTCACAAGCTGCACACTCCAAAATCAATCTTATGTGATTAAGGTGTTGAAATAGTCGAAACGAGAATGATGGGTGCATACTTATGTCGGTGTGAACATCAAAGTGTGAGTCCTTCAAACTCAAAAACACGAATAAAAATTTGTGAAGCAATTGCATTTTAAGTCTAGCTTTCTGATGCCCTTTGCAAGAAAAACAGCAGTTTTTGGACCAGTTTAACCAGTGCCACGCCTCTGTGTCGTAGTCATTACTGAGTTTCGAATAGTGCAATGATGCTTCAATCTCCTGAAACTGAGACCGTAGTAGTGTAGTTGACGGAGGAAAGTCAATGTAAACTCTAGATGATGCGTAGCATATGAAGCAGCCTTCCGCACTCCACTCCCCGCGAGATCTTTGACATATGCTGAAGAGTGCAACAGAACGATCGGGATTGGAGTAGGTTATGTGAGTTATTGCGTAGCCGAAAGTAGAGGTGATCAGGATCAATCAGGGAGTAGGAATGGTCGAAGTACGCGATATGGCATGTCAGAAATAGAAGCGAGGGAAAATAAAAAGACGGAGAGCATGGTCATCGTTAGCGCATAACTACAAGCAATTGTTCATTCCTCGAAAATAAGAACACACACGTGGTCGCACAAGGTCTTCGTCATGTAAATAAGTGCCTCAGACCAAATACGCCCATCGTCATCGGAAGCCAAACCCAGTAGTCGGGAGGCAGCACTCGGGACCAAGTTCGAAGTGAGGAACTTCATTCCTCTTGACCAAGTCATCGTTTGGCTTCCCCTTATCTTCTTCCACCCACTCGTAGGCAGCACAAACAACGTAAGTTGCGGAATTTGGTGTGCCGGCATGCGAAACACGTGGCGAGGCCATCGGAAGTTGTTGCGTGAAATAACGGCGCTGAGCGGTTTACTCATTCCTAGCGGTTCATTCGCAAAAGCGCCAATGACTAAGTGAGTAAGCCCTGTAGGACAAGTGACTGAGGTGGCTTATCCAGAAGCCTTTAGTCAAGGAAGAAGGAAAGTTGTAGCTTGGCAAAGCTACTCGGTCAAGTACCATTATGCCTGATTGTTACGTCGTCGACGAGTCACCTCGAAGTTTCGCCCATCTGGGTGCGTTGACGGCGTATGATGCACACCGAAAGAGGCGGTCGAAGAGCGCCCGGGAGGCATGATATTGCCCACGTAAGCCGCTTACGTTTAATAAATACTCCAGTGTGGTGCCAGAAGGGGTTCTTTATAAACACTAACTGGTAGACTTCGATATTTTTCAAGTGGCGCTCCCAATAGATTGGAGAAATATTTGGGAACATAGGTGCTCAAACATGCATATTCCTTAAAGTCTCAAGCGTGAAGTAGCCAGCAATCTGATCCATGCTGTAATACCGGCGGTATCACACTGTTGCATGCCTAGTCCATGACTGTCAGTTTGATACCCTTTCGAGTTTATAGTAGTATGGAACTAAAAAATCACACGAGCTTAGATGGTAGGCGCCCGCAGCTGACAGTGCTGGGAAGAGATAAAGGCAATCGGGTCCGAGACTGGATTTTGGGCTAAACAGTACTTTCCTGCCCTGACGGCGCCTGAACGAGGGTTCGCAAAAATGTCTCAGCAACACGCCGGTACGCAGTACGGAAACTTCGTTGTTCCGTAACCACTACCATTAGCGAGTAGGCTAAACATATTGCGAGGGTCGATCGGAACCCTACGCAGGCACGAACCCGCAATTTCCGGGATACAAGGCAGACGCCTTGTCCATTCGGCCACGAGCCCGGTTCATAGCATCCTGGTACTAGGGCCACGCATCTTCCTGACTCTCATAAATGATAACACGAAAACGTTCATCAAAAAGATGATCAGCGAAATGTGCCAAGTGGGGTCAAATAAGGAGAGTTTTCATCGCCAACACAGGCATTACCACTTGGCTCGATCTATTTAACTTTCGTTCGAATAAAGGCAGGCGCTCTCCTACTTTCGTTTCAGTTTTCACTAGCTTATGCTTCTCCAAGTTATCCTTGTACACGTATTTGCCTGATGTCAGTAACCGAAAAAAGATCTCTTTGCAACCGTGTACTCTTACAAAATGTTTACTTTTTGCTGACGACCTAGACAAGGTGAGTCCATAAGACAGGACTACATGGCGACTTCGAATGGAGTGGTCAATTAGGAAGAGGTTCCAGTTTGACACCATCAAGTGTGTTGAGTATACGCTACCATAGCACCTACGAGTACAAGTAAGATGCGTACCGTTGGCTCATGTGAGGTGAGTCATCCAGTTCCGGTATCTTTGGCAAAAAGTATGGTCTCACTGTTCGTGAGACGAAGTCGTTAAAATGTCGAGATTGCTTCGTCCCCATTTATTAACTGAGGACCCTAGAAGTTCTCAGCAAACAATACCGGTGTCTGCGGAGTGATCAGGGTATCAGATAACCAGAGACTCGGACCACGCATTCCACCACTTAATGATCAGCCACAACACCCACCGAGAGGCCACCAGTTGAAGTTGGCGACAGACCGCAGCCGATTGGAATGCTGCCGGAAATTTTCGCCCTTCGGGTGTACCAATCGTGGAAGGCCGTCACGATTTCTGTTAGTTCCATTCTCGCGTTAACAGATTTCATAACTCCACCAATTCACTTACGTGATATGTCCGCCTAAATTCATTGGGCCGCAACACAACACAACCAAATGAGGAGTAATTGTAAGTGTCAAGGTGAGTGTAACGACACATGTTAGTTTTCTGTTTCCATTATATATATATATATATATATATATATATATATATATATATATATATATATATATATATATATATATATATATATATATGGTTGGCGGCATCCGGTTTCGCATTTGCCTGTCACTGTGGCAAGCCACAGGACGCCTGCGCCTACAGAGGGACCATGGATGGCTTGCGCTGCACCACCCACAGCTCCATCCACACACCCCATATCCAGTGTAAACCCGAAGGAATAAGACCGGGAGGCATGTGGATGGGAGCCACCTTTCATCAACGGAGCCGGCCCACACTCCTTCACAGACAGACACAAGCACGCTGTATTTGGGGAATCAAATGCACACAAGGCGGTGGCTGGACCGTAGTCCGCTCCACACTGAGTGCATGGAACCACTCTTCGATCCTACCACGACCACAAGGACCGTGCACCCCGTCCCCTCCAGCAACGACCAACTGTCTCCTGGAGCCAGTATGGACGAGGTAGTGGGTAATAGACAGGTAGGCACCTTGTCAACATGCACATCAAGCGCAGCCACACCTGGGATGTCAAACAACAGCCAATCATTCGAAACGCCGATATCGATTAAAGTAAACACATATGACGACATAAATACTCGCTAAATGAGCATATAGAAGAAATTGGTTATAAGTGAATCTGTGATGAGTACAAAATGTCCGAAAGTTATTTAAAAAATACCACGCGATAAAATTACGCAAGTTAACCACAATTTGCGTGAGCGACGTGTGCAAGTAAGGAGAGGATTATGAAGTACGCAGAGCAAACCAAATAACATGTAATGAATTTTATCCACATATATATATATAGTGCACGGGATATGTTAAGCATTCGCTTCTTAGTCACAATAAACCCAATGTGCTCTCGTCCAAAAATCGGACTTCGCCCCAAGCACTTGGCTTGATTGCGCTGTATCAGTAGGGCATATGCTAGCGGATTCCAATAGGTGCGCTAGCCTAACAGACGTCTAATATTTTGTACGATGATAACTGGTAGCGCCACAACAGAAACAAGATGATACGCAATCTCGATGGAACCGGAAATGGAAACACAGTAGCATGCGTGAAATTCCAGCAGGCTGAACAGTGGGATATGAAGTCTTCGTGGACACCAATCGAAAAGATAGCTCCCTGTGTTTCCAGGTGAATGAAAAAGTAACGGCAATTAGTCGTGTGACAATTAGAGTCGATGCAACTCAGCGAAAACGAGCAGCATTCGGGTAGGAGATAAGGCAACTTGAAGCTTAAGGAAGTGGATGTCACTGTGCCCACTAGCGGCGACCGGAAGGGACAACTAGGAAATCAGTGTTGTTTCGATGCAACAGATATTAGGCACACTTCCAGTGAATTCGGATTGAGATCAGAAAGTGTAGGCTGAATAAGAATCGGAGGCGTTCAGATAATCTATTGTGCATCCACAACGTCCACAGCTATAACAAACCTGATTGAACTACGGAGTGACGTGCAAGGTTTTGCTTGTAGCATGAGGGAAACCAATTGAGGCAAACGGATAAACCCCGAACAGGTAGCGGGAAGTGCCGTAACATGCACTTGCCTCGGTCGACGCAGTCAAACAGGCTACACACAAACGAATGACTGGGGAATTTCAATCAATCACAAATGACTCTGTCTTGTGGATGAGAATGATGTCCACTTCAGTTTCACCTGTGACTATTCTATACGTATACTAGGGTGCTCGCAGACAATAGCGAGAGAACAAGCCAATCATCGCTAGTTCGATAGACAGCGGCATTCACGGATTCCAGCCTCGAAGACGCAGCAAACGTCGATACCTTCTGCGTCCAGAGTGCGCGTAGGCAAGAAGTGCCGCCCCATTGTTCTCAACATACGAACGATGAACAGAACCGGGGAGCATGGACCGTGAGGATAGATAGGTGATTTTGATGGCATGAGAGTATCAGGCACTGTGGTGACATGCGCGTAAACAGCCACAGTTAAGCAGTACAGTATCTGTTGCCAAGTACGCCGGGGTAAACGGAGAAGAATGTGCAATGCAAACATAAAATGATGCAGAAAAAGTATATTGAAATTGTACGGAGGGAGTAAATAGTAGTCTGTTTTTGTTTAACAGCTCGGTAATGTGCTTGGGAAACGACACAGGACACAAGTGAGACAGATTCATACGGCGAACATAGCCCTCAACTGTGTCGGCATTGCAAATACAGATGTTCTCGTTTCCTGGTCAACTAAAAACAGCGGCGGTCACCTAAAAAGAACTGATCAGCCTGTTGGAATAGGCATTCAAAGAGAAGTCCGCGCTAACCAACTGGGGCGAATCGATCAGTGTGGAAATATTCGGGAAAGGTATCTGTACTGTTCCTAATCATCATAAGGGCGACAGCATGCTTCTGAGTGTGTCATAATTCCCCCGCGCCGTGTTATTGCGAAATAAGAGGCCTGAATGAAGCAAGGGACGCAAAGGGGGTGACAACGGTCCACATAAATCATGCATCACGCTGTGGTAATTATGGGAACACGTCGGCCAAATGAGACGTATCGAACATACGTTTACGAAAAAAACGTCCGTATGAAACGTTAGCGTTTCATATGTCATTTACTCGAACAAAAGAGGCAACAACAGGGTCCACGATGGAGTGGCGTACCACCAATTCAGTTAAAAATCGGAGTTATGCGATTTGAGCACATCGATTTAACTGTAGCACGGAATCCAGCATGGAGTGTTTCTTGCGAAATACCGCGGCGCACACATTGTGTTACCTGAAAGAATTTAGCAGATTTGAGTAACGCCGAAGATATGGCTCCGTTGCTTGCCAATCGCGGGGATTCACAATTAAACATGAGAAAACCTTCAACATTGATCACCTCTGGTATGCGATTTGTACATCAAACTGCTAAAAGATCTTGCGAGACCAGTAGTGAGGATAAGGAAACGGTTCACAAGGTAGATCGATTTCGTATAAATGGCGCCCACTTCATTTCGAAGTCCCGACATGAACAACTAATATAGTGAGTTTGTTTTCCGTCTAGAAAGCAGAAAGAAGAAAGGCATCCGCAGTACGCCGGTGTGCAGTACCGAGACTTCGATGCCGCGCAACCACTACCACTCGCATGTGCGCTTACCATAGTGCGAAGGTCGCCCTACTCCTGCACAGGCTCGAACCCGCGCCGTCAGATTACAAGACAACCTTGTTACCTTTAGGCTGTCGGCCGGCGTGTAATCATGGACCAGCCGGGTCGGATCGATCCTCGAGGATAAAACTCGCACCGGTGAGGCTCAATAGATTTGCGGGGTTGCGAATAATGATTAGCGCAACATATCGCTTCGACCTTGTAACAATGTTATCAGGTGAAGAGCTTTCAGTTCAAACAGTTAACTGGTTCCTCCTCAACAGAAAGCAAATAATACGATGAACATTATCCACAGGAGTATGATTACAATGCGAATTAAAAAAGGAAAGCTGAACATGGACAAAAGTGAAAGTAAAGTGAGTAAAACGGAAGCGTTCTAGGATTGTCCATCGGGACGTAGTTTGTAGGAGGAGACCAAAAAGTGAATGTGATAATACTATTGGCCACATCTGACAGGGCCCATAACCAGTTACGCTGACATTCTCATGAGCACCATTCGAGACACAGCCCCAAGATCTAATATAAAAAGACATCAGCCGGTGGTACACAGTACCGACGCTTCGTTGCAGTGCAACCACCAAATTGCACGTAGCCTCAAGATACTGCGAGTCGCCAGGTCCCTACGCAGGCTCGAACACGCGCTCTCGGATTACAAGGCAGACTTGTGATCCTTAAGGCTACGGGCCGGCACGATCCAGTATAGCGTTCAGCTAGTGCACACTCGCTATACTATATAGATGCATTAATGGAAAATGATGAGCAACGAGACAGCCAGCTAGCCGGTGTGTAAAGAACACGCCAAAGGTAGAACAGACAGTTGGGAGTCAACGTGGCCGGTTACAGCATAGCCCATCTTTGGGATTTCGCAGCACACACATGTGTGCGACGACAGCATAAAAGTAGACCAAAAGATACCGCAGGGAAGAAAACATATTACGCAAGCACAGTTGTACCATGATACGTAGACCCTAGCTGTTTGGTGATTAACGTGGGAACTAAAAGGATTACACTGGTAAATTAGTGGAAAATCGCAAAAGCGGAAGTGGTAAAAAACGAACGTCAACCGGATGATACCGTGTTGCTGTTGAAATGGCCAAGGGAGAAAAACGATCGACAAATACCTGAGTTCAGCATACCTGTATGCGGTATCAGTGTACAGAGTAGTCGAGAGTGGAAACAGAGCTAAGTAGACGAAGGCACACACAGATGAAACTTACCGATGGTACCTCGGGCAAAGTTAGGTTTGTGAAGGGTTGGACGTTATTTGCAATATCGTCCACACTGCTCTCCGAACAAGAGGATTCTTCCGTGTTTTGTAGACTACTTAAACTGGTAATCGATGCATGTAGACCCTGGGTGCGTGGAAGACTAAGGTAAGGCGGCGATGTTTCTGAGTGGTCGACATTTTGCAGTGACTCGGTCGATTGAGCCGTTTGAATAGATCTGGCATCAAAGAATAATTCATCGTCTGGCTTATCCAAAAGCTCCGTGCGTGCGATGGACTGAGTGGTGATAGATGCTGCGTTAAAAGAGAATCGTAACAGTGGTGACAGCGTGTACAGACGGCATCCGGCAGATAGGAGGTAAAACGCAGGATGCAAATAATGAAGAAAGCTGGTGGCCAGAAATTCAAATGAATAAGGCATCTCCGATGCATAACGATAGTGGCAATTTACGAAAGTCGCTATTAACGAGAGTTATCCCAAGGGTGAATGACGGAATATCAGTAGAAGACAAAGTATAAATCATATAGCGAAGCACAAACGACCAGATTGACGTCGTAGAAAAAGACAGAGTGACAATCCTTCATACAAGGATGGACAACACAAGCGCACAAGCATTTCCGAAAGAATGAAGAAAATGAGCATCAGTCATATGCCAACCACCCCAATGAGCCAAATGTCAAATGTCTAGCTTTGTAAAGACCATCAACTATCCTGGAATGGAGTTCATTTAACTAGTAGCGAAAACGTCACTGGCGCAACGGGTAAAACCTGCGAAAACAGACTCGAAGACATGTGGAAAGGTACAGCGGTTTTCAGTCTAATGAGGCAGGTGCGCAGTGAAGCATAAATCTCGCACTAATGGTTAGAGATCAGCGGGAAAACACGAAAGAGTTAGGTAAGGCAAGGATATTTAGTGAAAAATATAAGTTGATCGGGATGTCACGAACTCTTTCTGAAGAACATAAAAGCAAGAAGAAACCACATTTTAACAGGATATAGTGAATTCAGTAATTTTGTGTGTTCTCCTCAGATATTTACAAACAATTTGTGGAAAGGATAGGCTACATAGCAACGGCGATCAAGTTGCAATGTTATCAGCGAAAATTTGAAGTAGTCGAAAACCGGTGAGTTCACGTGACCCGGTCAGAGGAAAGACGACACTAGCCTCATCAGGGTAGTGCGAGGATGGTCACGAAGTCCGTTTGTTTGCACAAATTTGGTTTCAACCGGCGAATCGCCCAAACCTCAGAGAACTGAAGTAGACGAGAACTGCTTTGTTAGGTGATTATCTTAAACCCACCAGGTGGGTTTTCGCGCACAGAGCAATCAAGTACGTGGCGTGCAATAGAGCTAGTAGGTAGTTTCGGGCCATTGGAGACAATGTACCTGGGGACGCATCTGCCCTATGAACTACAAGCGAGCTTTAGTCCGTACGGCTTTTGCTAGAGTTCGTCAGATTTGCTCTCCGGAGACTAGAAAATGTGAACCGGAACGCGTCACCTCGACACTACAAAAGAATGGATATCCCTAGCGATTTATAGCACGGTACGCGGAAAAAGGTATTTATTACGCTAGCCTTTAAAGGGGACCAAGTAGACAGAAGATGCCGGCATCGTCTTCGTCAATTTATCAAGAAGTGCTATTACGCGGCTGAGCTAGTGGCATTGCATCAAGTCAGGAGGCTGCTTTGCACATCCAACCTGGACAGACTGGAATCTCAAGTTACCGCCTCGTGCGTCTACCTTTTTACCTGTACTTACGGAAGCAAGTATGTTGGCAGAACTGAGAGAAGACTGTCAGCGAGGATTGCAGAGCACGTCCCCAGGTACATTGTCGCCAATGGCCCGAAACTACCTACTAGCTCTATTGCACGCCACGTACTTGATTGCTCTGTGCGCGAAAACCCACCTGGTGGGTTTAAGATAATCACTTAACAAAGCAGTTCTCGTCTACTTCAGTTCTCTGAGGTTTGGGCGATTCGCCGGTTGGAACCGAATTTGTGCAAGCAAACGGACTTCGTGACCATCCTCGCCCTATCCTCATGAGGCTAGTGTCGTCTTTCCTCTGACCGGGTCACGTGAACTCACCGATTTTCGACCGCTTCAAATTTTCGCTGATAACACTGCAACTTGATCGCCGTTGCTATGTAGCCTATCCTTTCCACAAATTGTTTGTAAACAGCTGAGGAGAACACACAAAATTACTGAATTTAGTATATCCTGTTAAAATGTGGTTTCTTCTTGCTCTTTTGAAATTCATGAATGGAAATGCTTGTGTGAAGGAACACAAGAGCTGAAGTCGAATTATTTGACTACAAAAGATCAGGAGACCTACAAACGCCGAGCAAAGGGAAACGGATGCAGCGGTGAACGGTAAGTTAATCTCACGTAAATTTAACGGTGGTGAACCTAAAAATACCGAGAGACGTTCTGATGAGCTTCAGGAGCGTGCACTCAAATTTAGACGGAAAAGTGGAAGTAAGCCGCATCGAGCGACAACCAGCCTGATTCGGAATTGTTCAGCACAACACACGAACAACGGAACCGCAATTGTATTGTCATGCTTAAAACGAAATGCCACGCGCCCACTGAAAAATAAAGGACTGCAACACTGATAACATTCAAGAAGTGCACAGGGTCACCTTTAATTGCGGTGTAGTAGTGGTTCGCTCACATGCCCAGCAGAAAAATGATAGACAACCCAACTAATAGGAATAAGAGGAAGTAAATAGGACCAAATGTGCAGCTCGAATGCCAAAGGCAAACATGCGGAAGCAACGCGTCCCTGCAGCGCGCTAATCTACACAGTCGGAAAGCATTTGGCCATTGCGCGAAGATAAACCATCACCTTTCGACTTGAAATGGAGAGCACCAGCATAAACCTTACCCCATAAGTCACCCAGAGAAATAATTAAAACAGGCAATTCATCAAGGAGATGACGATAGGTGTTTGCATACCAAGTTTTGTAACATTTCACACCAGGCTAGAAAACACGACCTGCCCACTAGGCTCGGTTTAGTGGTAGATGCGCTCATTCCAAATTGTTTAGTAACCGAAGAAATATCCAATACTTGGGCTCAAATAAAACCGGCAACAAATAACTGTTCTCTATACGCAAGAGCATGTATATGTGACACCTGCCTGAACGAATGTGCAACACACCTCCAGCTTGGTGCGTGTGATCCAATAAACTTATAAACAACGTTAACTAGTGCTTGTTCGTTTCTTTTAGCGGTGTGCACACGTTGCCAACGATGAATTAGCGTCACTTCGTAAACGATTATGATGGAAGGACCTGATGCTGACTGAGATCTGAGCAGAAATTCAGACGCTAAAGCGGCTGGTGCAAAATGGTGTCGCACACTCATGGAGCCAGTAATGGTGTTCGCGAAGCCTTGAATAATGTCACTTGTCACATTCTCGCCGCTACCAATGCAGTTGATGTGATGTGCGAATAGCTTCGTTAGCTCCGATTATTCGACGTCAATAAGCGAAGGATCCGAAAGCGACTAGGGCTACTCGAAACAACGTTTGGAAAATTGAAGCTACGAATCACATGAAAGTGGATGCGGTCACTCCACTGAAGGACTTTTCAAAGCTGACCGTGGAGCACGCGATTACCAAACACGAGGACGATAATGCCCATATAACAAAAATCCATCAGCTTCCGTTAGATAGCTCCTGAATGTGTGCACCATGGGATTTCATGGGTATAATTCATGGAACACTTTTGCAAGTCTGTTATGTTGAATGTGAAGTATTTTCAAGAAGAAAACGGTAAGGCAACTCCCACGCGAAGAAACCCGCCTCAAAAATGATCGCCGTCGTTGACATCTAAGCTGCTAGTTAGAGCGCGGATAATCTGTCCCTCTTGCACAGAGATAACTCTGAGGAGACCGCTACGAGCATCTCAAAACCGCTCGTTTAGCCAGAAGACAAGCAAATTTGAATTGAAAAAGCTTCATTACTTCTATTCACTAAGACGACGTTGCACAACGTTTTCTGATTTTTGTGTCTCCTTGCATACCGGCCCCAAGCCATTGCTATCGATCCCCGAGGTCAACTAAGATGTTTTAGTTTATACAGGAAAGTGAATCGCGTGACAATCTAAATTGAGAACGAATTCTCTATTCGGAACTGTCGCACTGATAGCCTGGCTTGCCGAACAACATCGTGGTAGTGCCAGATGGCTAGCTCGGGATTATCCATTTCCAAGGAAATGTTTGGTAGCAGCGTTCCAGGACATGGAACATTTTCAGTTGTCAAAGGTTTTCCCCACAAAAAGCCTCAAATGTATGTCTAACAGCATTGTGTCATGGCGGATGTGACTCGACACTAAATAACCTCACTCTTCCCTCCTTACTTCGGTGGAGCACCGAACTCCAGCAAATGCATGCTGAGAATTGAGCTTTTGGATGATAAATCACCAAACGAAAGTGAGTAATCAGTCTCTGGTTCCAATGCGCGTGATTTCCTTCAGTCGCCTTAATGCCCTGAGGGAAGGCTATTCCGTCAAAGGCTTGGGGAGTTGCCCCACTTCCGGAAGCAACATTTTATGCCAACTCAAGCAGCCGGGTAGTAGAACGTCCATTGAGGAAACCATGGACAGTCTAACTGCCACAGAGCGCCTAAGTACTCTTGCATTCGTCACTTATGCACCTTCATCACACGCCACTTCAGATACACTCAGCTGCAATCCACCGCAAATACTGAACAGAAGGCAACGCGCCCTTCCTGACAGTCAATCTGCGTTTGTACTCGGCACTGCATGAAAGCCTATACCGCCACTCACTCCCTGGACTGCACCAGAAATAGTAAAGCGGAGTCTAATCATAATGAAGTGCACCCTTCTGCCAGTTGGCGGCCCAAATGAAGCCTATGCAGTGATCGTGAAGCCTAGTGGCCTCAGCGTGCTATGGATATGGAAGACGCTGCCCTCCTAAGCAATATTTGCAAGGTCCTCCAGCTTATTCGAAACAATGGCCACAGGAAGGCTGGCGCCAGTAGAACTATTTACGAAGCTAAAGAGTAATCTACGGGCGCCGGTGTGTCTCGCTAACCCAACCGCCTACCTGAACTATCTCAATGAATCCATCTAGAGAGAAAGTAGCCTTGCGATTCGAGAATTGAAGCGAATCAAGGTTGCCAGAAAAGGCGGCTTCTTCAGAGCTCTCCTCAAGTACGGTGGTGCAGTAGTCATTCAAGTAACATCATTGTTCTTCAAAATCTGGCACAAAAGAAGAGTTGAGTTTTTGCGCGAGTCAGTTAGTGTCCCGAGCTTGAAGAAATGTGCTCGCATTGCATGCGTTTTGAACCGAGGGATTAGTCTCATTTCAGTTGTTTCTAAGCTACTGGCATATATTTTGCATCGTAGACTATCCTGGATACGATAACCACGTAATCTTGAAGAATAAGCTGGC